ACCCCCCCCCCCCCCCCCCCCCCCCCCCCCCCCTAAATATGGCCTTGCTCATACCACCACCTTTTGACCATGACATAGGACCTCCACTCTTCATATTGTGCAGCTATTTGGGCATGGTGTTGAAGACTTGTTTTGACACCATGGTGGGTTACTGCAAATAAGCCAATGAAGGAAATCCTAAAACCCTTATGAATTGTGGGTTTTTTTGGCACAAAAACTGTTGTTCTAATCAACAAACTAGAAAACTTATTGTAATTTAAAATAGGGAGTGACTTTTCAGACCCTGTACTTTATGCATTGATGTGTGTGGGTTTTCTAAAATCTCAATCCCTTCCCAATTTGGAAATGGAAACTTATCAGTTTAAAATAAGGTGGAGGTCATGAGGCTCTTCAAGTCAAATGTGGGGCTGTTTCAGGTCAAACATTTTGAGAGGAAAGAAAGCTGCCTCTATGCTCAAAGTGTTGCATGTTTCATCTATGAATTCCACATCTGCATGAATTCACTGTGTCCTCCCTAGTCACTGAATTTGTGTATGAACTCAATGACTGGTGCATAATCACTGCAAATAGGCAAATGAAGTGATGTTACTAGGGAAAGCAGGTGAAGAGAAGAAATCACTGAGGCTGATTCAAAGATGAATACGGTGGACCCAAACAATTTTACCCTTTTTCATTTGATAGGAACCCAGTATAAATATTCCAACTGGGAAAACCAGCTGGAATCAATGGCATACACCATCCAATTACCACTTGCAATTGGTAGGTGTTTTTTTTATGTGATGACCACACATAGTTCCAGCTGGAATACACATGGATTCAGTGAAACACCCAAGCTTCATCCCCCCCCCCTCCCCTGCTCAAATATAGGCTTATCATAAAGTCACCACCCTATTTTGATTAGCTATAACATTTCACAAGGGACAGTCAGATTCAGCTGATATTTGGCAGAGTGGTTCATAAGTCAAGGAGCTTTTTTTTCCATGCAGCAAGATGGTGCTAATGTCGACCACAGTGCCACCTATCTACTTGGTATGTCATTTTTTAGGCATGAGATAAAAACCATTTAGGCCCATGAATCTCTCTGCCAAATACCAGCTGCATCCTAGAGTCCTTTCAAAAGATATGGTCAAACAAAGTAGGATGGTGACTTGTAACAATCAAATTTTGTTTGGTTGTAAATTTTTTGAGGAATAGTCAGATGCAGCCAATTAGCAGAGATATTCATGAGTCTTTGACTTATTCATTCCCTTGCCCAGCACAAAGATGTGCATGTTGACAGGTGGTGCTGTGGTGCCATAAGCATAGGTTAGAGGTGGAGAATAGGAATTGGGTAAATAAAAAAGCAATATGTCTAGCATTCCCATCACTCCCAGCAAAAGATGGTGAAAATCAAAATCAGTGCAGCAACGTCTCATGTTGATATGCTACTACATATTACCAAAATAGAAACTCTGTAAGCAGAGCCCTCATGCTTCTTCACATATGCAATCATAGCACCCTCTGTCAATATGTACAAACATGTACTGGGCAAGGGAACAAAATAGTCTTAGACCCATGAACATCTCTGTCAAACATTAGCTGCATCTGACTATTTCTTAAAAAGTTATGACCAAATGAAGTTCAATTGTGAAAAGGCACCATCCAACTTTGTTAGAACATATCTTTTGAAAGGAATCTAGGATGCAGCTGATATTTGGCAGAGAGATTTATGGGTCTAAACAATTTTTTTCTGAAACTTAAAAATTACATACCAAGTAGATAGGTGGCACTGCGGTCGACATCAGCGCCATCTTGCAGCATGGAAAAAAACTCCTTGACTCATGAACCTCTCTGCCAAATATCAGCTGAGTCTGACTTTCCCTTGAAAAGTTATAGCTAATCAAAATAGGGTGGTGACTCTATGATAACCCTGTATCTCTTAGGTTAAGGCTACATATAAAAACATTTTTGCTCAAAAAGGTTTTTGAAAAAAAAAATTTTTTACTCTTTTGACATTGAGCCCAATGCACCCAGCTGCATAGAGAAAACCATACAGGTAAATGTTTGTGGAAAACAAGAATTTTTCCTTCTCAAGCCTCCACATACACAAACATTGAATAGCAGAGAAATGTTTTTTAAGTCAATAAAGGATTTCCCATTGCCACAGAAGCAAGCTGACGGGGGATGTATTCAACGAATTTCTCTTGCATTTCAACCACAGTGGCAACAGGGTGTCGGGCATAGGCATTAGTATTCAAGAATGTGGTGCAACTCAACACAACACTGCCATAGCCAGATCTTGAAGAGAGCAGAATGGAAGATATGTTATTTTGTCTTCTATTAAATAGGGTGTCTCAAAAAATGTATGCACACTTTAATAAATAAAAAATACCTATGAAGAAATTTCAGAGAGGGACAATGCTTAGTGTGACATGTACCTAACAGATGGCATTACTGTGTAATGGAATGATAGCATGTCATTAGGCAACTGTTACCCATGAGGCAGTATGTAATGCAATATGATACAAGCTGATTTTGAAGTGGTACTGGAAATCTGAGAAAATGCAAAGAAGATGGAGAAGTGAATTTGCAACTGAGCCACCAACTCAACTAACAATTTTGAGAATTAGCAATGAGTTTGATGCTGATGGTATTGTGCAGGACATGCACAAACAGCATTCTGGGAGACCTCGCACATCGGTAAGATACCAGCTACACTTCAAGAACTCAGGCATGAAATTGCAGAGTCCTACATTGCTTTCCCAGCAGAAACCTTTCCATGAGTTTGTCACTCTGTTGCTCACCACTGTCAACAGTGCCTGGATGCTATCGGTGAACAATTTGAACACCTGCAATAGTGAATCATGTGATGCAAACCATTGCTTCTTCACGCACTAAACATTGTACATCTCTGAATTATTAAATATATACAGGGTGTCCCACATATGTCTGCCACATTTGTTTTTGTAATTAATCAAGAATAGATAATAACCTAAATTTTGGGAAAATTTAATAGAAACTTTGGAAATTTCCTGTATGTTCCAACCAACAGAATTCACATAGCTTTGCTCTTTGGCAAATAAAATTTTTCCAAATGCCCACCATTCTGATTGATGCACTCTGCATCAAACCAAAGCATTGTTCATTACTGTCTGCAATGTATCTCTCTCAATGGTGGTGATAATTTTCCTAATTCTATTCTTTAGGTCACCAACATTCCTTGGATTTGTGTGGTACATATTGTTTTTTTAGGAAGCACCAGAGAAGAATATCAGGGACTGCAAAGTTTGGGGAAGAAGGAATTTTGGTAAATGAACCATATCATGATTTGGTGCTACCCCATGGTCCCAATTTCAGCACACTACCCAGACTTGGCAACCCCTAATATATTTTTCTAGGGTGCTTCCTAAAAAGTAATGTGTATCACACAAAACCAAGGATTGCTGATGACCTAAAGAACAGAATTAGGAAAGTTATTGCTACCATGAAAAGAAATGCATGGCAGACAGTAATGAATAATGCTTTGGTTTGATGCAGAGAGTGCATCAATCAGAATGGAGGGCATTTGGGAAATTTTTATTTACTGAGCAAAAAGCAATGTTGTGTGAGTTCTGGGGGTTGGAACATAATTTCCAAAGTTTCAATTAAATTTTCTGAAAATTTTAGGTTGAATACATTATCCATTCTTGATTAATTAAAAAAATGTGTCAGAGATATGTGGGACCCTGCATTTTTGATTTATTAAAGAGAGTATACATTTTTTTTAACACCCGGTATTATGGAGATATTGTATAATCAAAGAACATTTCAAACCTTCCTGTGACAGTTGGTCTACGACTGCGGATGTGGGTTGGTTTCATTTTTGCCAAAAAACTAGCCTGGCAGTTTAAAAAAAAGAACTTTCAGATGTTTCTGGGAAGCTTCTCATTTCTTTTTCATGGTTACATTCAAAACTATTTGAGAGTCATCAAAACACGTTTCTCAAAGAGAAATGTTCTTCAGGTGTTCTTACTTCCAAACGTTGATAAGCATCTGAAAAACGTTTTTCCCACAAATGTTCTTATACAGGGTGACCCAAAAAAACCATACCAAACTTTGAAACCCAAATTGAGCCTGGTATGGTTTCTTTTGGGTCACCCTGTATGTAGCCCTAGCCTTACCCTTTGGCTTGCTTGGAAAGGAATATAAATATTTCTGATTAGTGTTGATACTATTTTCAGGAACTGGGTAATGATCTAGAAATTTATTTCATGGCCCAGAAATCTTCCTTTTGCTACGCATTGAGCTGCAAGGTTTTTTTTTTATATGCAGGTGTGGTTAAACTCCTGTCACCATAGAGATTGTGGTGGTAAACTTTATATAAAGCAGACAATGCCAGGGCCAAGCAAGAGAAACATGCAAATCAGGGGTATAGGGTGGGCCATAAATATTCGTACCACATGTAGCCTTTTATATTTCTGCGTGCTGAGAAAAGCAAAGGAAAATGGGTGTGATGCCTAAATGTCAGCATCTCTTTGGTGGCCAATCTTGGGTGCTTCAACAGGACTCTTTTTCAAAGTCACATGTATTGATTCTCAAAAATTTGTCTAGCAAACCATATTGCAGAAATAATTAACAAACATGAATGGCCCCCTTACAACTCTGACTGGAATCCAATAGATTACCGTTGTATGGAGTCTGCTGGAAGTAAGTGTCAAAATTTGAAATCAAGTAACCTGAATGGATTAATGCTTGTGCAAAATGAGGAGTGGAACCATGTCCATCCAGTTTAATTGAGTAGCAGACTTGAAGATTGCGGGTTGTTGTCAAAAAGAAGGAGGACGCATAAAAGATATGTTGTGAATAGCTACTGTGAGTCTTGGTGTCTCATTTGAGATTCAGTTGATTTATGAGAAATTATTAGTACAGGAAATACAAGACTTTGATTTGGTGTGGCCTAGGGCCCTAGTTCATGTCCCTGCTGTAACCGCATACCGTACTGCAAAATCCTATCCAGCACGCATTCCTGATAGACTGCAATCCAGCTACGCAGCAAGTAAATTGCTGTACAGCAGCTGGATGCAGCATGCCGCACGGCAAATATAATGTGCTGTACTGCATGCTGGATTGAATAGAAATCATTCCTATTTCTATTTTCTGAGTCTTCTGGATGCAACAATTTTGGTTTTCAGTCTACTCAATTATCAACCACTTGTTTTGCTGATTTTCTGGATTGCTGAATGCTCAAGTGAAAATGAGGAATAATGTTATTCCTCAGATACAATCATTTCTGTCGGTGTTCTACAATGAAAATAAAATATTAGTTGCACCTGACTTTTTTTTACTCATAACTGCAGATTCTTCATGGCTTCAGCAAAAATAGATTCATTGCTGCCAACACTTGCTAATATGAGAAAAGCATTGTCAAGACTTTCATTTGCAGCTGTAGGTATGGGGCTACGATAAGCGTCATAATCCACGCTCATTGCAGGGACAAGGCTCTCACTTGAATATATGCTATTGCTTCCAGTCGAACCATGA